GCATTACATTGTTGCCGTCAGTTCTTACCGGTTTATATATAAACAAGACTACCACATATCTAGTAGGCTCTCGAGATTTCAGGAAGCAACAGGATCCTTCTAGAAGTTCATGACGTGTTACTAGGGTCACGTGACTTCCGCTATCGTAACAATACAAATTATAACAGCTTAACTAGACTCTACTGAAATATATTACAAAGGAATGGGGTGGCTTTTAATATATGGTTTGAATTGCATCCAATTGGAACTGAAGACATAAAATAACATATCTGTATGGGTTACTATCAAGGTTTCATGGGCAAAATGTTTTATTTGGCAATTGTTATACTTCACTTGATCAGACAGATGCATGTATCTATGAGAAATTATAGATCTCCTCAAGTTGTTGCTGAGAGATCTGTTCGTTTGTTAATTTCCGGTATAAATTCTTCCCAAGGAACTTCAGCGATACAAGTCCTTTCTTAAATAAAACTAGTTTATTTTTTCTCAATACAACTATGCAATACATAGAATTTCCACAGTCACTTTCATTTAAACACACGTTATAATTCACAAAAATTCACGCACTTTACTTACGGTAACTACCGCTCGCTTGACTTAATTATCTGTCTCTATATCTCTATCTGTAATTATATCTCCGATTTATTTGCCGGGCTTATATACTAAAATAGAGGGCGCCTAGAAAAGACTAGAGTTACCAGGAACAGCCATGATTCTTCTAGAAACTCCAGCGTCACGTGACTTCCACTGTCATAACATAAGCATTCACTTTTTTATCACATACATGTGTAAGCCCTGTTATGAATTAATAGTCCATAAATATACTATAGTTGTACAGATATTCTTTCACAAATCTAATATGTCTAATCTAACATAAATATGCTATAGTGCAGGTAACAAGTGATACCACATTTGAAATGTAAAATCTAAGTCAATGATTAGAAACTATGTTGAAATATATAAAGATATACAAAGCAAACAAATTATAAGAGGGTAAACAGAACAGTAGGGTTTAATAGCAAGTGTTGAACAATAATGGGAAGCCATTGATTAGTAAACTGTATTAATAATAACAGCTTAATTAACTCAGTTGGCTTACATAGTTTCAATAATTGGCTTAGCTGTTACTGATACTATTTTGACTTTACCTGTTTATGTAATTTTCTTAGTCTTTTTTTTTACATTGTCTTTATTTGTTCTTTTTTTTTTACATTGTCTTTTTACCATTATCTTTATTATATACATTTGAAGCCATCATAATAATGTAACTCTTCAAAAGAATATCACTATTGTATTTCCTCATCTGACCAATGAATAAAAAAAAAAACCTACTTTTTAATTAAATGTTTTTAATTAGTGTGCATTGTAATCTAAATCTAGAAAAATTACATTACATTTTTATTTTATTGGTTTACTTTTAAGTTTGAGTAATTTAGCCATTTTCATAATAATCACTCTTGATTACCAATTAGTCAGTAATATTTATTAGTACTTTTAATAAAACCAATATGTGTTTGCAGAGTTCTGAGGTGTTTGAATCTTTATATGAATAAAACACAAAATTGCACACATTTATTCATAATCTATTTCTCTGCTATAATAATTTAATTCACAGTGCATTACATTAAAACATATTATGTGTAATAAAGCTAACACATGTAGTCTTGACCACTTCATATGGGCATCACACAATCCTAGAACAGTCTACCAGTCAGACTGAAGTATGACAATGTTAGAATCACAAATACCTCTTAATTCTAATATGAAAGGTAATGTTCTAATAAGTTTTATTAAATTAAAAAGTACAACTGCTGATATCATATAGAGTATTTGATTATGAGTAATGAAATTTGCATGTATTTTCTATCACTGCTTGAAGTATTGCACACTTTATCTACAAACATTTACTAAAAATTACTTTCTAGAAGCATTTATAATTTTCATAATACCTCTAGTTCCTGTAAACATGTGGTTAATAGCACCGAATACTTTTAAAAACACATACACAGTAATTTTTGACTGCATAGTTTAACTCTGTTAAATTTGTAACAATAACATCTCGTTGGTATTTTTCATGAATTTCCTAAATGACTGTTGATTTGTATGTATCAAATCAAATTTCAATTTTCACATGATTCAGTACAATATTTACAGTTGAGAAAAAGAAAATTTGCAATAAAGCCTTAATCATCTTCATCTTCTAATTAGCAAAACAAAAATACTATGCATACTACATTACAAAAAAAAGAAAAGTTAAAATCTGCAGTTTTATGATTTAAACATTTTAATCAATTTCTACATTTATAATGTTCCACTCGGAACTGTTTGAGGACAGAGAAGCTTCTGGTCCTATTAAAGATGTTCCACTCATGTTTCTGCTACCTAGGTATTTCTCCACTACTCTTACAACATCTTCAGTAGTTGTATTTAACAGCTGATCTCTGTGAACTTGTTGCATATCATCAGTAAGTCCATTTAAAAATAGTTTCATTCCTTTTTCACCTGGAGGTACAGGTTTATCCACTTCTGAAAAAACACCCAGTTTTGCTTCCACTAAATCTTGAGATTTGAACTCTTTATTTAGTATCCAATTGACAGAATCTTGAAATGCTTGCAGAGTCTCAGAGGTATTTGGGTCCCTATATGAATAAAACAGAAAATTTCCATTGGCAGAGACAGTAGCACCACCTCCATAGGCTCCACCTCTTTCTCGGATCTCACAATGAAGAAACTTAGAGGACATAAGTTTTGCAGCAACACGAAGCACTGGATTGTCTTGACTGGAATATGGTACACCTTTGAAACATAAAGCTGAATAATAAACATTGTATGGCAAAATGATATGTGTTTTAGAGGAATGTGGAGAAAAGTTTATTTGTTCAATTTCAGGGTGAGGATCCTGACATTCTCCTTTCATTGAAGATAATAAATTCATTAAACCACCTTCAGCTCTTCTTAAAACAGGAGCATTGGCATTAAGTGCACATTTGAGATGGGTCTTATTAAAAATACAATCAGCAAGAATTCTTAACTTGTCTAGCAATTCTTGATACAAATCTAAATCAGACAGATTTTTTAAATAAAGAAGATATTCAAAACCAAACATTTGTTCTTTCCACTTATCATATAAACTGAGGGTACTTGCAGCTCTTTTCATTGCATACAAGTGACCTTGATATGCCAAGTTTTGTGACAGCTCTGATAAATTCATTTTCACTATATGTTTAAGTCTTTCTTCATCATCCATTTTCAAGCCATTTATTACATCCTGCCAAAGTTTAAACATGTTTTCTATATTTTTTTCAAGGCAGAAAGAAGACAAGAGAATTCCTTCATAAAACGTATCTACTTTTGAAGGATTTGTTGCTGCAAAAATAGAGCTGTCAAGCCCCCCTGTATATAATTCTGCTTCTTGATCCAACTGTCTGTAGTCATAATCACCAGCTCCCATTTTTGTCACAACTAATGCAAATAATGGTATTAAAGACCTTAATTCCTCCGGTACACAGGCAGTTGATAGAAGGGCACGAAAGTAAGAAATGCCATTTGTTGGTTGTTCACTGCTTTGAACAGGTACGCCACAGATATGATCTGAATGAATAAGATCGTTTTTATGCTTTTTCTCAATATCTTCAATCAGCAATGAAGGCAAACAAGATACGTCTTCATTCTCTCTTTGGTTCATTGCAAGCAAATTTCCCTCATCATAAATTTTTTCTTTATCGGCTGAAGAAAGATGCTCTAACTTCTTCTTAAGCAAATCAGTTTCAGCTACTTGTAATATTTCGTTATAACCTTCATGTGGGCACATTATTAACGTCAAGTTATGCATATTACTGATGAAATGTTCATGAATCTTGTCTTGAAGAAAATGAGGATTATCTTTCATTAACATTTTTAAGTAACTTACATGCTTATTCACTTCTAAAGGTTCAATTGGATCTCCTCCATGATTCCATATGGGATTTAATGCCATTGCAAGTCCTAAGCCAAAATTGGAAGTTTGATGTTTTGTACTAAGCTCAATAGTATGGAGTATGCCTTCAATACGTGATGTGGGAAATCCTTCTTTTAGCACCTGATGGAATGTATTATCTATAATCTGAATAACAGTGTCCACATCCTTCTCATAAAGACCACATAAACCAACTGAAAATGAGCTTTGCCTTGTGTGACTGTCAAATCCAACTACTGGGGAGTAGTCTGATCCCAGTCCACTTTCAATTAGTGCTCGATAAAAAGGTGCATTTGGGCCATCAACTAGGAGATTTCCCAGTACATTCAGAGTAAAAGAATCATATGTATCTGTTATATCGTTTAGCATGTAACTTTTGCACACTGTTGTCTGCTTATCTGGGTTGCTGGATAAAGGATCTGGTTGACATTTGATCTTGAACGTTCTTGGTTTTAACCATTGCTTCTCTTTGAGAACTTGATTTTGTGGAAACTGCTTTTCAAACTTAGAAAGTACATAATCATTAATAAATCCTAAATGATTCTCCAAAGGAAAGTCACCATAAGTGAAAAATCTTGCATTACTTGGATGGTAATGAGTACAATGAAAGTCTTTCAGCTGTTGCCATGTGAGGTTAGGTATAGCAAGAGGTTTCCCACCACTGACATAGGAATATGTACTACTTGGAAATAACTTATTTTGCAGTTCTTGAGCAAACAACTGAGTTGGCTGAGAAAACACACCCTTCATTTCATTGTAAACTACACCCTTTAACTCAATTTCTGAGTTTTTATCATTAATATTTTTATGTTCTAGTCTCCATCCTTCTTGCCTAAAGTCAATTTCTAAAAGTCGTGGAAAGAAAACTGCATCCAAGTATACTTTCAATAAATTTTCAAAATCTTTGTGATTTTGAGATGAAAATGGATACATTGTGTAGTCACTGCCTGTAAAAGCATTCATAAATGTGGCTTGAGATCTATTAAGCATCTTAAAAAATGGATCTCTACAGGGATAATTTTGTGAACCACAAAGAACTAAATGTTCTAGAATGTGAGCAACACCAGTGTCATCTTGGGGTGTTGTTCGAAACGCAACACTAAATACATTATTGTGATCTTGTCGAGCAATATGCAAATAATCAGCACCAGTTTTTTCATGTGTTAATTTTACTGCTGCTAGATGAAGTTCTGGGATTTCTCTTATTTGCTCAACCAGAAACCCTTGTATTTTTTTGCCTGGCTCATAACTCAGAACATGTGATATAATTTTGGGTCTATGCATTAGATTTGAAGCTAAACTTACACCTCTTTTCCTGGTAATGGCTGCAAGGAAAAACCACTTTGGCTTAAACATTTTTTGAAGAAACATCATTTTACCATCCGCTGCTCAACGTTTCTTTACTACCAATACTACTACTACTGAATACCAGTAAATACGTAAGTAATACTAAAACTTTTGTATTAAGTAATATCAGTTTTAAGTTTGTTTTATAAATTACAACTGAGAGTACAGTTATCTTAGAACAAAATATATATAAAAAAGAACTCGCAAGCTTCAGATGTCTTAACTAAAATTAATACTACATTAAAGAGATAATGGATATTTCTTTCCAGAACTTCTGTCGTTGTATAATTCCACAAATACTATTATTATATTTACGAAGCCTAAAACCTGCAATTTGCAAGAGCACATTATATGAACGTATGGTGAGATGCTAGAGGGCGCTATTCGATTTTATATAAGACGAATAAGAAGGCTGACAAGCTTTTTTATATCACTTACAATAATGTGTTTTATTAAGTACGGTAGTACTTAATAGTAGGGATCGACAATATTTCCAAATAATTCAAGTGCCGAAAAAACACCCTATTGAATTTCTAAGCAAAAAACCGACCGTTCAAAGTATTGGTTACGATAATATTGTGCGCTACAGATCGATGGATAGGCACGCGACAGTTTCTGTAGGACAAGAAAAACAAGTGCTTGATATTTAAAATTCTGCTGATTCTGATGAATCTTCTCGTGACATAGAAACCAGTAAGTGTTTCACCCACAATTCTTTTGTTGCAACCATGAAATGCGCATGGTCTGCTGTGAAACTAGAAGTTGTTTTAGCATTTAAGAACTTTCTCTCATAAAGAATAAATAGAAGGTGATCAGTCTATCACAAACACTATAACGAACGAACGTTAACTTCAACAATACCCTGTGACTGCAGTTCAATTACTCACTATCTACA